TTATTTCTTGCCATGTTTCTTTCCAAAACCTACACCAGGTCCTGGGTATGCATGTGTCTCTCTGTCTCTCTCTCTCTGTCTCTCTGTCTCTCACACACACACACCCCTTGCTCATTCCGAGAGCAGAATAGTAAAGCAGCAGTAACCACGACAGCCAGCACTCGCTGACCTGTCCTGGGTGGTAGCTGCCTCTGCGGGGCGCTGCAGGGCACCCTCCCTCCCACCCACAGCCTGCTGCGCGGGTCGCTACCCGCCCCCGCGTTTTCCCACTTCCACGGTCCGCACACAGCGGGCTGGCCGAGCAGTGACTGCCCTCCCAGAGGAGAGGGGCCAGGGCTGACCCCGCAGTCTGATGCGTTAGCGGGACTTGTTCACGTTCTATTCTGATTCTGTCTCCTGTCGTGCCTGCATATCCTTGATTGTGGTTTGCCATATTTCTATTCGCTTACTGCATTTCTTCTACCAATTATCATTTTCTTTGCTGTTTTTCTATTGCAATGCTTGTCTTTTTCTCATCAGTATATGAGTGTTCTTTATAAATTAAGGGCGTTATTTCAGTGTCCATTATATTTTGTCAATTGCCTACCTGGCCTCGCCTCATTCACGAAGCAAAGCAGTTTTCTAAACGATTTAAAAAATGCCAGCTCTGTCCCGTAATCAGCGCATATTTATCTGGCCAAGTCTGTCTGTGGCCCCCTCTGTTCCTCGTACCAGCCGCACCCTGTGTCAGCAGGAGCCTGCGCTCGTGTTTCAGGGTCCGACCGTGCAGGTCTCCGCCCCCCACACGTTTGTGCTTCATTTGTAATTCCCTCAGCTTGTCGCCGGGTGAGCTTTCATTTTTCCAGGTGAGCATCAGAACCCTTTCTCATAACGTCCCCCCAAGTTGCTCTGGAAACTTCATTGAAGTTGCCGCCAGTTAATAAATCAGCAGGACACGTACTAGTAACTTTCTGCTCTTAACTGTGTAATGCAGGAATGTGGAATGACCACCTGTGATTTGAGGCTTCTTCTGTCCTTACGAAAAGGCTTGTCTTATTTTCTTCATATAAGGGCTGTAGATTTTACACTTAATTATTCTTGGGTATTTTATATATTTTCTCCTGTTATGAGTAGAATGTTTCTTCGTTTTGTCCTCTACTTGGTCACTGACAGTGCAGAGCCCTTGACTTCATTATTATTTGTAGCCAACCAATGTCTAGAATTTGCTTCTTAGTCCTAAGAAATTTGTAATTGGTTATTTCATGTTCTCTAAGTAGACAGTAATGTCATCTGCAAATTATCATTGTTTCCTCCCTTTCTGTTTCGATGCATTGACTAAAACTTCTGTAACCATGTTGGGGTCTTGGAAAGTTATCTGTGACAGCACGTGCGCGAGGGGCCCTGCCCACGCCATGGACTGCGGTTGTGTGGCTGAGGCTGGACCCTGGGTGTGAGGCTTGCAGGAGAGCTGGGCAAAGCTGGGCGTCTCCTCCCTGTGCTGGGGTCTCCCTCGGGGTTGCATGGGAGGCACCCTCTCCAGGCCTGTAACCATTTTCCTGTGGTGTCAGATCAGGCAGCCGCACTCCCGGGCTGCCGACGTAAATAAAAGCAGGTGACTCCCCAAGGACAAAAGGCCTTTCCTGGGTCCTGTGTGGAGAGACCTGGCCTTTTTCTCCTAGAAGAGGTTGTTGGCAGGGTCAGTGCTGGACGCAATTTAATCACCACCTGAGCTATTTTGTAGTTTTCTAGTGCTCAGCAGGGTTCTGATCACTTTCATCACAGGTGAGTTTGCCCGTTCCCTTTGCTGACGCAGGCCGCTCTCTCCCGGGGCCCGTCAGGTAGAATGCGGGGAGCGTGGGGGAGAACCAGGCTCTGCCTTCGTCCCCAGCGGCCGCCCAGGGACCCCGAGGGCCCGGGACACACACACGGGGAGGGACCTTGCTCGTCCTCAGTCTCAGGGCTGTGGTCCTCCTCACCCGACGGAGCCCAGAGAGAAGCGGCTGCTCGTTTTTTTCCCTTTTCTTTATGGAAAATACTTAGTTTTTCCCTTACTCATTTTTTTTCATTGTGGTAAAATTCATATAACATAAAGCTCATCACTTGACCATTTTAAAGTGTACAATTCAATGACATTTAGCACATTTACAATATGGTACAACCATCACCACTGTCTGGTTCCAAACCATTCTCATCACCCCATGAAGAACCCCTGTGCCGGGAGGGCTTTTACACAGGTCCGTCCTGCCGGAACCAGGAGCCCGTGGGTTCACGGGCTGTGAGTGGGCGAGGAACCTGGGGATGCTCCCAGCGTGGATGCCACCCCCGCTGTGGCTCCGAAGCAGCCAGAGTCCAAAGTCGGGCCTGAATCCCGTGACCCTGGCGCTACAGCCTCCCCGTCTACACTGCCCGGCGGGGACCTGTCCTGACACGTCTGTCTGGCAGGTGCCATCCTGGGAGACGGGGGCTCATCTTCCACAGTTCCTGCTTGTGGACCAGACTGCAGGCCCCATCCTTTGGTCAGGTCTCCTCAGAATAAATCGCTTCAGATGAAAAATACTGTGTGCACGGTACACATTTTAAAGCATCTTACTGGGTCGCCCTCCAGAAGAGCTCCTGCTCCTTCCAAAGCTGTATTCAGCCTGGATGTGCCTTTCCCAGGTCTCACGGGGTATTTCCAGTCTAATGGGCAAAAACTAAAAACGATTTCTACTCTTTTATTTGCATGTCCTTTTTTACTAGTAAGGCTGAATTTTTATACATTTGTGTGTGTGTGTGTTTGTGTACAAAATCTGTTGTGCTGTCTCCATGGACAGGAGAGATGAGCTTGAAGAGCTGTTTAGTTGAGCGTGTGGCTCTTTTCCTTGAAGGGAAAAGGATAACATTGAAAGGAACCTGATTTTATGGCCCTGGGAGCCAGGCCGTCATGTTTACTCTCTTTATTACCTGTCCCAGGTAGCTGGAGAGATGTTACCTGGGGCCCCAGCTTCCGGGTCACCTGAGGCAACTTTTAATGAGCCTGCAGGACGCACTTTGGTTGCCATAACCCTGGTACCTGGGAAAGCGCGTGGCAGCCAAAAGCCCTGCGTCATCCCTGACCCTGTCTGTGCCTAATTAACGGGCTTACGGTCAGGAATTGCTCGTAAACCCGGCACTCTGGGTTTCTAGGACGTTGTTTACGGGCAGGTGGATGGCCTTGTTTGACCTGCTGCCCCAGGGGACATTGATGGCCACTCCGGCTGCCATGCTGGGCCCGGCTTTTCCTCTGCCACCAAGCGTTCGTGGCACACGAGAGTGTCATGCTTTACAAGGCGTCCCGCTCACCTTTGGCAGCGCCCGCTGTGCTGTCGGCCGCCTGCGGTTGCACAAGAGAAGGACCGTTTTGTCTATTTTTCCAAAGGTGGCAGCTGAAGGAGTTTGTTCTACAAAGAAAACCGTCTCTTGCGTTGGCTCTTGCGACATGGTTTTTATCTCCTTCCCCCTCACTGGCTCTTGCTGATAAATACACTGCCTTTGATCTGGCCCAGTACCCTCACGGGCTCGCTCAGACCTACTCCCTGCAGAGAGAAGACAGCGGGTCAGACACATCCTGAGTCTTCAGTCAGCCCTGAGCCACCACAGGAAGTGTGTCCCGGTGGTGGTGAGCCCATGGAGGGAAGGAGCCAGGATGCCCTGCAGACGGAGGGGACCCGCCACTGGTCTCAAGGGGATGCGGCTTCCAAGGCACCCCACCTGGGAGGAAAACGCGTGTCACATGAATGGAGACTGGGTGGTGAGGGCGGAGGAAGGGGAGGCCGGCCAGGCTCTCCCTTGACCACTTTCACCCGTCACTTCTCCCCTCCCCCCCAGCGCGCACGGCGATGTCCGGTCCGCAGCTTCCGCAGCGTCCAGGGTGCCAGGTGTCTGTGATGCCGGCCTTCCTCTTGCTGACCAGCATGTTGATAGCTGACCTTTTTGTCTTTGCGGCATTTGAGTATCCAGATTTGGGTGGGAACATGAATGACACATCCAGGGGACCTTTTGATAAGGTTTTGATAAGGTTGCATTTTAATTTTGTTTACAGTATTTATTACGAAGGTAACTTTTTATGTTGTCAGTTATGTCATTTCTGAAAATACGTGATATCATTTACACACGACGAAACGCACGGGCCTTGAGTGTCTGTCTGCCGCGCTTGGACATCGGGAGCGTCTGAGCAAATGCTGTCTCTGTCAGGCAGTCCATACCCTACACAGCTCCCTCCTGCCTCGTCTTCCTGCCTCACCCAAGAAGCAGCCTTCTTCTGATTTTTGTCACCATGTCTCAGGATTTCCTGTTCCAGAACTTCGTGTAAATAGACCCTTTGCATGTTGACTCTTCTCTGTCCCGTATCCCACAGCCCTGTCAACGCTGGACAGTTTTTCCTGTATGTGCGGTTTATTCTTTTTCATTGCTGGGTGGGATTCTCACGTACAGACACACACTTCTGCCACTGGGTTCATGTCTGAGGGACGTCTGGGGTGTGTCGGGCTGGGCTGCCGTGCGCACAGCTGCCACGCACAGTCCCGTGCAGGGCTTTGCGCAGATGTGTTTCCACGTCTCTTGGGTCAGTCGTGGGCATGGGGTCGCTAGGTCTCGCATGGGTGCGTGTTTAGCCTTGTAAGGATGGGCCGAACGATTTCCCGAAGCTGCCACACCCTTTTGTACGCTTTTGCGTCATCCTCCGGAAGGCATTCCCAACGTATGAGATGGCGCAAGTCTTCAGGCGTATTTTCTTCTAGCGATTCGGTCATTTTTATTTTCATTTTTGGCATGTAGCGTGGAGTGGTTAGGAGACATCCCCGAGCAGCCCTGCTTCCTGGACAGACTGAACGAGGGGACCCCCTTGGAGATGCGGGCCGTGCGCAGGGCGCGAGGTCCCCACGGCCACAGCGGCGTGGGCACGGGCTGGTCCTCTGCCGACCTTCTCGCGTGTGTGTCTGTCTCGTCGTCTTGCTTCGGGGCGAGGCTCTGACCGTCTCTGTCTCCTCCCTCCCTGCCCGCAGCAACAGCAGGAGCTGCTGGCCGTGAAGCACCAGCAGGAGCTGCTCGAGCATCAGCGGAAGCTGGAGAGACACCGCCAAGAACAGGAGCTGGTGAAGCAGCAGCGGGAGCAGAAGCTGCAGCAGCTCAAGCACAAGGAGAAAGGCAAAGAGAGTGAGTGCGCGGCGGAGCCGGCGGGTCGGCGGCGTGGGCGCCCTCGCCAGGCGGCTCTCCCCGCGGCCGAGCGGCCCAAGCCCCAGAAGCGGAGCCGGGGCAGGAGCCGCCTGGCTGGTGTCCCTCCCGGGGCTGTGCTTCCGGGCGCCCCAGCTTCAGGGCTGGTCCGCAGCTTTGTCTTCACTTGGGAGCTGCGGGGGGCATTCAGCCCCACTTTGAGTTTGACTTAAGCATTCGCAGGAATGTTTGCAGACTCCTAGTGGGCTGAAAAAATACTAAGAACCATAAAGCATCCCAGATGCATGGTGAGCCTCACCTGTGTGCTCAGCCTTAACTTCCTCAAAGTTGTTTTGTTTTGAGGGCGTCGGTGAGCACCCGACACCAGGTGGCAGCTGCTAGGACGCCCCTTGGCTGAGAGGAGACGCCATGACCCACCTCTCAGGTTGCACATTTGCCCTTTGGCCCCAGTGTTTGCTTTCCATCGCGGCTGTGCTTGTGCGACGACCAGCCTGGTCTGTTATCCTCCAAGAGACACCCAACTGGATCTTAGCCAGGGGACTCTTCTGGATGCCGTTCCCCCTTTGAAAATTAGGCGGAATTCCCCATGTCAGCACTGGGCAAAGTGCCTGGGGCTCGCACGAAAGGATGGACGCAGTTCAGCATTCCATCCGCAGGGTGCCATGTCCCTCCCAGGTTGTGGCTGAACAAACACTCCCTCTTGTGTATTTGGGCCTCTTTGTTTTGGTAGTTTGTCGTTTGCAGCGATACACCCAGGACCTAAGGGGGGCGAGTGAACCCACTCTCACATCCCCAGGTTCTGGTCCTTTCTGCCCAAGACCTCAGAGCTCAGGTGAACGCACTGGCCCCCTGTTAATCCTGCGTGTCAGTAAGTCAGGGTGTGCATTTCTCTCCTGTGTCGGGATTTGGTGTCGGGACCGTATGGTGGTTTACTGAGCCTGTGCTCATGAGTAAACATAGAAGTCTTAGGCACTTTACCAGTACACGTTTATTTATTGATTGATTTTCGGCCGTGTTGGGTCTTCGTTTCTGCGCGAGGGCTTTCTCCAGTTGCGGCAAGTGGGGGCCACTCTTCGTCGCGGTACGCGGGCCCCTCACTGTCGCGCCCTCTACCGTTGCGGAGCACGGGCTCCAGACGCGCAGGCTCAGTAGTTGTGGCGCACGGGCTTAGTTGCTCCTTGGCGTGTGGGATCTTCCCAGACCAGGTCTCGAACCCTGCATTGGCAGGCAGATTCTCAACCGCTGTGCCACCGGGGAAGCCCCCTACCTGTACATATTAACCTCGAGAAACCTCAAAAATTCTTTATCCTCAACTACTGAAAATGGTTAGCCCTGCAATCAAATCCCGCTAGCCTTCTAAGTCTGATTCTCTGGGAATTCCTCCTCCGTTGCCGGACCCCCAGGTTGGGAAGCCTGACGTGGGGCTCAGAACCTTCTCTCCCGTGGGTGGACTTCTGTGGTGTAAGTGTTCTCCAGTCTGTGAGTCACCCACCCAGCAGTTATGGGATTTGATTTTGCTGTGATTGCGCCCCTCCTACCGTCTCACTGCGCCTTCTCCTTTGTCTTCGGATGTGAGGCATCTTTTGTGGTGAGTTCCAGTGTCTTCCTGTCGATGATTGTTCAGTAGTTAGTTGTGACTCTGCTGCTCTTGCAAGAGGTAGTGAGTGCACGTCCTTCCACTCCGCCATCTTGAACCCAGTATTTGTACGTTCTTAGTCGTTTTTATACATAAAATTAACAGCTTTGCCAACAGTTACTGCAGCGTTTCATTCTTGAAATAAATACACTTTAAATGTGTTTTCACTTTAACTGTCTGATAGAGTTTCAATTTAGAAAGCAGGTCAGGAGAGATTTTATTCCACGTGAAATCTAGTTTTTCTACTAGTATTTGAAAGTAATTACTAAATCTGAATGGTACATCTCGTTGGATCACAACAGTTTGGTGAGATGGTGATGTACAGGCTCAGTGATGGCCCACAGTCGAGGTTCCAGAAACGAGGACAGAAAGGCATCGGGAGAAGTGGAATTGCAGGTTTGGGTCGGCTGCTTGCACCTTGGTCTGTGGGCCACCTTGCGACCCCGCAGTGGGCTGATGTGCCAGACAGGGTCCATCACACTCACGGCTCTCACTCCCTGGCCTGCTGGCTCCCATGGCATCCCCCTGCCACCCACCCAGCTGGTCCACACAGCCAGGCTGGTCTCACCACCACTTCCTTTGTGCTGAGAGTGCGGCCGGGTGCTGAGCACACCTGACCCTGTAGCACACGGTGTCAGGAACCAGCCCCCAGTCGTGACGCACTGATCCGGAGCAGAGGACAGGGGCCTGTGCTCTCGTTTCTAAAACTCCTGGGACGACTCTAAGGTGCAGTGGAGGCTGAGAACCAGGGTCGGGCTCAATGTCCTCTCTCCGGGTTAGGGGCCTGAGCGTCTTGGCGGCTCAGTGGCCTCCCTCCGTGGCTTCCATAGAAGCTGCCCCAGGGACGACAGCACCCCGGTCCTCACAGGTGCCCTTGGGAGGGGCTCTGCTGCGGGCAGGATGGTGCATGGGGTCCAGAGCTAAGGCGCACCTGCTGAGCCCCGCGCACCTGGCCCCTGACGTGGCCCCGTTCCCTGCCCGCCCCCTGTTCCTTGCCCTCCCCTCAGTGTGCCTCCTCCACGTGCTTTTCTTTGGAGCGAGGGAATGGTTGTTTACAGAGGATGGAGGGTTTAGATTGCTAGGGTCGGTGAGTTGCTGTGCGCCCGGTGCGCCAGCAAACCCCAGTTCACCAGCTTGGTCTACACTAACTCCTCCTAGTTTGCCAGAAAGTTCCAATAAAAATAACGTCTTCAGCCTCACAAAATATGAAAAGATTTGACTTCAGAAAACACGTTTAAAGTAAAAAATGACTTCTGCTGCCTGCCGAGCAGGCCCTTGATGGGGCGAAGGAATGTTCTCTGCTTCCCTCCAAGCTGGTCCCAGTGGCAGCCCTGGTTGTTTTCAGCTTGTGGGTTTGGGTGGTCGGGTTTTATTATTAATAACGGACTGTGTACAGTTGGGTTCCTTGGCATGCTTGCGTCAGCTGTGCAGCCCTCAGAGTGTGGCCTTGAGAGAAGGCAGGCCTGGCAGGCCGCGCACTGGACGCCGCTTGGGCTCCTGAGCGTGCGGGGCCTCACCGATGAACGAGAGTCTTGTTTGTGCAGCTTACGGAGCGTGGGGCGGGGAGCGCGCGCGTGGCGTTCAGCATCTCCACTTTGTAAGCGTTTGAAAAGGCAGTGCAGAGCTTCCGTTGTTTAGTTTCTTGGGTTTTTTTAAAAATGAATTTCTTTTTGAATATTTAATCCAAAGTTTTGTTACACTTAACATTTACTGTACTTTTAATTTTAAGTAATTCTGCAGCTTGCTTGTACTTTTTTTTTTTTTTTTTTTTTTTTTTTGTGTGTGTGCATGCGCATGAGTACCTTAGCATGTGATCAGAGCCCCCAAAGCTCCCAGCCCTGGGGCTTTTTATTAACACGTAATTATTTTTGCTATTTGTCAAATTTTTACTATATGTTGCAGAGCGCAGGCTCCGGACGCGCAGGCTCAGCGGCCATGGCTCACGGGCCCAGCCGCTCCGCGGCATGCGGGATCTTCCCGGACGGGGGCACGACCCCGCGTCCCCTGCATCGGCAGGCGGACTCTCAACCGCTGCGCCACCAGGGAAGCCCCTTCTTGTGCTTATTGATGCCAATTGATGCTATTGATTTGGTAGAACAGTGAATTCTTAGAGTTTATGGCAATTTTCATCTTGTTCAGCACGAACACACATCTTCAGTCAGTTTTATTTAAATTAACCGTGTTTAAGTCTCTATGATACACTGTCTTTAAATTCATATCGAAAGGAAAAATCCAACGGAAGACAAGTATTCGCCCTCTGGGCAGTTTGGAACTAATACAACTACATGCTTCTCACTGTTAGTTAGTTACAGGTACAGCCTGTTGGGGAAGAAGGGGCCCCTGCTTGAGGGAAGTCGTTCACTTTGTCCGAAACATGGCTCAAGAGGGTGGAGATCAGAGATGGAACACCGACCCCAAGAGAAGTTCTTTTGCCCCGTTTGCTGGCGAAGTCGCGCCTTCCTCAGAGGCGCAAACCTGGCAGATGTGTGTCCCCATTCGGGTCTGGTGTCACATGCTCCAGGGCCTCCGGGGCCGCTGAGCCCCTGGGTCTCTGTCCCCAGCAGGTGGGCCCCGCCCAGATCCCCCTTCCCTTCCTGGGCTTCCTCCAGGGCTTGTCCTCTGATCGCTCCCCCTGGGTTTCATTTACCTCTAGCCCCGCTGGCTGGTTGAGTGCTGGCACATAGTACGTTCTCTGTGAAGCCTGTCAAATGAATAAATGATCATCAACAGGAATTAATTTTTTTAAGTAAAAATGGAAACATTTGGTATTCATTTACTGAAGGTGTTTTGTTGATGCTGGAACTTTCATTTCAAGTGAAGAGGTCTTTTGAGAGACGGGTATATAACTAGAATGACGAGGATTAAAGTCAGTATCTTCCGTTGGGAATTCTCTCCCTGTCAGCGAACCTTCCGGCTCATTTTATGGGGAAGGAAGTCAGGGTTTGGGGACGTGGGTTTGTTTTCTTCTGACTCCATAAGAGCCTGGCAAGGTGCACTCACCCACCCACCCTAGAGCTGGCCGAGGGCCACGCCACGTGTGTCTGTGACCGCCCGGGGACCCCTGAGGCACACCTCCTCCTGTGGGGGCCCTGCAGGCGGCTCAGAAGAGAAGGGTACTGTCCACCTCCCAGCCCAGCAGGTGCCTTGGAGTTACCTCAGCCCCCGCCAGGGATGGGCCAGCGTCCCCCTGGACAGGGCAGCTTCCCTTGCCCGTCTCTGCATTTATCGTGCGCGTGCCCTCCCTGCTGGAACTGGGCGTCTGTCCTTGTCCCTTCTTGGAGCTCAGGAGCCCATGGTGTGAGCCTGGGTTGTGGCCAAAGCAGGGGGAGTGAGCTCTTCCTCAGCG